CGCTCTCTGGACCTAGGACCTATCAAAGTCATCATTTACCCAGAATGCTTTGCGTGGAAATAAAATGTCTCCGTCCGTGTTAAAATATTTATTTAAATATCATAAAAACTGAACATCCTACAGTATTTTTACAGTCTTTATTTTACAGTTAAAATAAATGTTTATCATATAAAGTCAAATGTTACAACTAATGGATCCCTTTAACTTATAGCTACATTTTTCTTTTACTATATTTAGCTTCATCTCTCCCTTTGACTTTTAGCTAGTGTTCCTTTTCTTTTAGTTTTATCAACTGGTTTTAATTTCAGCTGTCATTAGCGCTTGTGTTTAAAAAACCTTTAAATAAAGACAAAAAGCAGCTTAAACAACAAACTTCTTAGTTTTAACAAATTAAAATATATTTATGTGAAAACCTTGATTCTTCGGCTCTGATCAGATCAAATCACAGTTTTATTCATCAGTTGTAAAAATGAAAACAGTCTTTAAAAATTAAAAATGAGGAACAGAATGTGTTTTTGTCACTGAAGCTGCTGACCCGCTCGGGTCAAGCTAACCCGGTACTGCACGGCTCGGTCCAAACCTCTGGGGTACAAACTGGGTTGTTCAGAACCCAGCAGTTCTCAGGGTGTGACGTTCCTGGATCTGGACCAGAAACTGTCAGAATTAAAACTCAGAAATATAAAGTTTGTTTTAATTTTATTCTCCAACAAAACAAACCAGAACCTCCTGTCTGGGTTCTGGTTCTGGTCAGAAAACAAACCAGCAGAACCTCCTGTCTGGGTTCTGGTTCTGGTCAGAAAACAAACCAGCAGAACCTCCTGTCTGGGTTCTGGTTCTGGTCAGAAAACAAACCAGCAGAACCTCCTGTCTGGGTTCTGGTTCTGGTTCTGGTTCTGGTCAGGTTGTAACAGAAACATGTGGAGCTGGGTTCAGGACTCACAGTCAGACTGGACTCTCCGTTCCTGGATCAGAACCATGAGTCCGGTCCGGGCTCACCTGTAGAACCCCAGAGGAGGTGGACCCTGCACAGAGAGCGCCCCCAGCGGGCAGAACCGGAACTTCGGTTCTGTCACACAAACTTTATCAACTTTTTTAATTAATTATTTTTTTTTATGACAAACAACAGGAACTGATCAGAACCAAACAGACCCGGAACTCTGAGACTCGGTTCGGACTTTAAGCTCTCACCTCACTCAGACTCTGCACGAACAGGTTCTTAAAAAAAAAGAAGTTCGGTTCTGTCTGCAGATTCCCTTCTCTCCTCCTGGTCCTGGTCCTGGTTCGGTCCTCAGAAGATGACCCGCTCAGACCCACACCCGGTGGTCTCTGAGGCCCGGTTCTGGTCCAGCTCAGAATCCGTTCGGTCCCGGACTCGCAGGTCCTCCTTCCAGCAGGATCTGATCCTCTGAAGCTTCGGACCGGGACTCAAAACCCATCTGAGTGTTAAAAAAAAAATCAATAATTTCTCACGCTGCTTCCGCTCGGGACTGTCAAAATAAGAGCCATGCTGAAAATTTCAGAATAAAATAAAATAATCTAAACTTGGATGTTGGAATAATTTTTAAAAACAAACTTTAAAAAAAGAGTGMAGATGGTTTTATATTTATGTTTACTTAATTTCCATTTCAGATTTATTTCACGAACCCTTTATTTAAAGAGACATTCTGTGTTAAAACTACTTGTTGTGTCTTGTTGACAATAATCATAAAGTCAGGGGAAACAAATCAGGTCATTTTTTAAATTAATCAATGGTCGGTTTGTCCTTGAATTAAAATGAATGAGGAAGCATCAGGTGTGTTTTTGTTTACCTGCAGAAAGAGCTGACATGAATGAGGTGTTAATGAGTCATCTCGTTGTTACTTATTTACTCATGTTTGTTTGGTACAATATGCAGGTAGAAGTGCTTTGTTTACATTGAATGCGTACCCACATTTCAGGGTTTCATGTCTGTAAAACAAGGAGTAAATTCCTTCAGGAAGCTGCAGGAAGCAGCTGTTTCACTTCAGTCTGTTTGTGACCCGGCTGGTCTGCAGCTTTGGTTCTGATCGGGTCATTCAGAACCGCTGGATGTTTGTCAGGATGGTCAAAGACCACTTCTGTCGCTGGTGATCCTTCGGTGCCGCTTTTGAACCGCTCAGCCTGCTGTTTATCTGAACTTTGACCTCTGCTTCTCTGTGATAATTCAAAGAAACGAGTCACGCAGAACAGTTTGTTTTAAAAACCGATTTAAACAGAAAAAAGAAACTTTCACAAGATTTAAATCAGGATTTTTGAATCTGGATTTAAGTCTAAATTTGGACCTGGGCCAAAAGGTTTAGATTTTGTTTAGAGTCATTAATCTTCTATAATCTAATTAAGTAAATAGTCATATTTTAATCACAAGCTGAGCTGTCAATCACTGTGACCTTTGACCTCTTTAGCTTCAGGGTTCATTCAGTTTTTAAACATTTTCAGATTAAACCCTCTTTGCAAACTAAAACAAAACAATCACCTTCCCGTGTGAATCTCAGACACACAAACATTTAAAGCTTAATTTAGTTTTATCTTTTGTAACAATGTATAATTTCTATCCACTCATTTTAACAGGATTTACAGCAGACCTCCAGTTTCGACTTCTGCAGCCATTCTTCAAAATTAAWTAAAGAGAATTCCCTTCACCTTTCTCTGAGTAAACAGTGAGGTTCAGAAACTCTCAGCTTTGTTTGCACTGAGCACAGAGAACCACAGATCTATATTTGTGCACAAGATTCAGGTATGACGTCACCGACCACCTTCTGCTGGGTTTCTTGTCCAATGGATCCCCTAAAACCTAAAACCTAGAAGAAACCCGGAGCGCCCCCTGCTGGACACAAACCATAACACTGTAAGAACAATTTTCAACATTTTCACATTTATTTCTTCTGTAAAAACACAAACAGCAAGTGGCGCTGCTGCACCACTAAGATCTGCGCACACACACACACACACACACACACACACACACACACACACACACACACACACACACACACACACAC